CCCCCCCCCCCCCCCCCCCCCGCGGGCGGGGGGGGGGGGGGGGGGGGACATCGTGCCCACACACGGCACCGAGCTCCTCTGTGCAGGCCGTCTGCAGGGATGCGTTCACTTGGAAATGGCTAATCGTGGCGACTGAAGTTGCTATCTTTTCACCTCCCTCTGGGCAGAACTCCACGCATCCTCTCAAAGTGGCTGGATTTGGCCTCCCATCCCGATGGGGGACGCCGTTTATGCCCAAACCAAAACTGCTGTCACGTGCTCGGGAAACATGGGCCCTGTTCTTCCACCCCGGGGCATCCAAAAGCCAATGTCCACCGACTGTTCACTGCATGCCAGGCCCTTTTCTAGTTGTTTTTTGTTTTTGGTTTTTGTTTTTGTTTTTTTGTTTTTTTAAATTTTTTTTTTCAACGTTTATTTATTTTTGGGACAGAGAGAGACAGAGCAAGAACGGGCGAGGGGCAGAGAGAGAGGGAGACACAGAATCGGAAACAGGCTCCAGGCTCTGAGCCATCAGCCCAGAGCCCGACGCGGGGCTCGAACTCACGGACCGTGAGATCGTGACCTGGCTGAAGTCGGACGCTTAACCGACTGCGCCACCCAGGCGCCCCTGGTTTTTGTTTTAACGCTTAGCTTTTCATTCTACACCATAATCTACAAAGTAGATCCCTATTCCCATGTTATAAGTGACTAATTGCAGCCCAGGGCGGTTATGTGACTTGCCTTTGGTCACATGGATTAAGCCCTGGGCAGTCTGATTCCAGAGCCCACACTCTTAACTGCTACTCTGAGTCACCCATCATGCAGTGGCACCGACCCAGGAGAGGGACTCAGCTCGTGGCTACCCAGGGGGGAGCTTCCAATAATAATGACAACAAAGCAGCAGCCATAGCAGCTCCCATCTGTTGAATGCGAGCGGCCACTGCGTTGAGCGCGTTCTTATTCAGTCCCGAGGCAGACTGCGTTGAGCGCGTTCTTATTCAGTCCCGGGGGCATCGTTACCCGCCCCCCCTCCCCCGCCCTTCAGTGGGGAGCACACTGTGGGGTCAGACAGCCTGGATTCCAAGCCCGGCCTCCCTCCTCCCTAGCCTCGTGGCCTTCCACAAATTGCTTTCTCTTTCTGAGCCACAAGGAGGAGAGTGGCAGGCCTTGATTCCTCTGTTCTAGTGTATCCTAGTCTAGTCCCCCCAAGACTGCCCCTCTTCTGTCTTTGGAGCCCTCCTCTATGGAAGGCCTGTCTCCCTAGTGACCACACACTCAAGGGGTGCCCCAGTTGTCAACAAGGCTCGCCCAGCTACCTCTTCCCCCTACCTTACCCGCTCCCGTGGCTGCTTGGAATATTCTGTCACCAAAGTATAAACATAGAACTGGAGATTCAAAAGGTAAAATGAAATGAGAAACTTCAAATGCTGCATGCAACCCCACAGTTCTAGAGTCATACATCTCAGAGCCGACAGAGGCCTTAAGGAACGTAGCTCAGTTTCCGGCCTCAGCCGGAATTGTTGTCCGTGAGGCAGTAGCCAACATATTTGATCCTCGTATTTGGTCCACATTCTACACACTAGGGAGAGCTCCCAGCTGCCCCCCTCACCCCACGGATGTTCAGATGGGGGGCGGCCTGGACATGGAACTTTCACTGGGAAGAACAAGGGATTTGTTTATTATTTATTTGGGAAAGAGCACGTGAGCAGGGGAGAGGGGCAGAGGGAGAGAGAGAATCTGAAGCAGCCTCCACGCTCAGCACGGAGCCCGATACGGGGCTCGATCCCACGACCCTGGGATCATGACCTGAGCCAAAATCAAGAGTTGGAAGCTCAACCGACTGAGCCACCCAGGTGCCCCCAAAGAATTTTTTTTAAGCAGCTACATCCTATTTGGTAAGGCCCCTTTGGGAATTATTCTCTCTCTCTCTCTCTCTCTCTCTCTCTCTCTCTCTGGTTCCCCCCACCCTTACCACCCCACTGCCTTGCCTCTTCTCTTCAGACTGCTTCTCCGCTCAAGGAGCTTTTCTCTCCCACAACCTGCTGCTTGGGAGAAACTTCCACCCCACCCACAGAAGTTTGGGTTCGGTGGGTCTGAGTCAGGCTGCTTTAGGCTGGGCAAGAGGAATCCTCCAGAAGCCCGTCTGCCAGTTCAGACACCCCTCCACTTGCAGCCATTTAGACGATCACGAAGGAGTTGAGGTCCATATCCCAGCCACGAATGAAATCAGATTTGGGGATCAGACGTTAGTAAAGTATAGTGGTTGAGAACACAGACTCTAGAGTCAAACTATTCAGGTTAGAATCTTGCCCCCTGCCACTTACTACACATGTGACCTAGCAGGTGATTAATGGTTTCCTCTCCTCATTTTCCTTTGTCCAAATATGGCCTTCTTGGAGCAGGACATCAGAAGGTTTCCTATAGGGGCTCCTGGGCGGCTCAGTTGGCTGAGCGTCTGACTCTTGATTTCAGCTCAGGTCCGATGATCTCATCCAGTGCCTGGTCTGTCTCCACCTTTCCTCCATGTTCTTAAAGCCCCTGAATGAAGCAGCTTCCCCAAGAAGGCTCTCAACCCAGTCCTTCCTGCCAGAGGCCAGATGCCCGAAGGGGAGGGGTTTTGTCGGCCATCAGCAATACAGGGCTAGAAGGCCACAGACCTTCTAGAGTTTTGACGGTGGGAAAAAGTGCTTTGAGTTTTCCTTGGAGCGGGTCGTGACGTCTTGCTGGTTCCCTCGTTAACTGATGAGGTAGACAAAAACTGTAACACGTGTTCAAAAAATAAATCAGTGAAGTGGGAGAAGAGTCTTCTGGTGCTCGCGTCCGCCTCAACGGCAGATGCCTCGGGTGTTCACCGGAGGCCTTTCCACCTGTAGGAACTTCCAGGAAAATAGAGGCTCAGCTGCCATGGCGGTTCCTAGTTCAGGCCCCTCCACAGACTGTAATACCTCCAATCCATTCACTTATTAAGGGCGCAAGTGTTTACAGGACACATATTCTACGCTGGGCGTGGGGCCGCAGAGACGAGCACAACACCGTCCGTGCCGTCGAGGGGCTCACAGCCTGGGGAGGGAAGCATACAGCATCACACAGACCATTGGTGGCCCGTCAGAGGAAAGGACCTAATGTTGCCTGGGGAGGGGTTCAGGGAAGGCTTCCTGGAGGAGGTGTGCAGGAGCTGACTCATGAAGGATAAGAAGTTTTCCAGATGAAAGAATGGGAAGGGGTTGGAGGCCATTCCAGGCAGAAGAAACAGGGGGAAAATATCTGCTGGCCTATAGGGAAAGTACTGGCCAGTCATAGGGAATATTGCGAGCAATCCAGCCTGGCAGAGCACGGGGCTGAAGGCTTGACGGCGAAGCAGGGGCCCAGTTTCTCTCGCTTTTGTTTTATCCTGATGGAGGCCACCGGCTGGTCTCTGGGGAGGCCTGCGCGGCAGGCTTCGGGGCAAAGGAGAGCCCGGCTTGCTGACCGAGTCGGGATTCTCCGCGTAACCGCCATGGGAGACCTGTCGGCACAGCCTGACTCCCGGTGCCGAGCCCAGCAGCCCCCGCAGGGTTTGGACCGGAGGA